TTACCAATATCATTCCCCAGGGTTCCCTGTTGCTAACTTAACTGTGGTAGAGTATACCCCGAAAATCCCATTCTAATTAGTCGGGCCCCTACATTATACCCTTATAGACGCCCTTTCAGAACCCTAGGAACTCTCTCCTAATCATGAAGGCCGCCCTATATACACCATAAACCCTACAACCCCAAAACACTGAACCCTGAGGCGCCAACTGCGAACCTGCCTGCCCTAAACGTTCAGGGCTTGAGGGGTTTAGGGTTTAGGGATTGAGGGGTTTAGGGATTTAGGGGTTTAGGGTGTAGGGGTTTAGGGGTTTAGGGTTTAGGGCTTACGGGTGTAATGGCCTTTTTCCCTAGATACTATTCCCTTACAGAAACCCTTAACGAGCCCTTTTTGGGGACCCTATTCTAAGTATTATAGAAGCCTAAAAAATACATTATACTATTCCTTCGGGTTCCTTATTACACTTGTAGTATCATGGGCCCCAAAACCCTATTCTAAGTATTAAGGCCCCTACATTCAACACATCCTCAAATTCTTTAAAGCCCTGAACTTCGAAACTCCTATTCTAAGAAGGAGGGCCGCTTTTTTTGTTAGTATCTATTCCCTTATAGAAACCTTTAAGGAGCCCTTTTTGAAGACCCTACTCTAAGTAGGAGGGCCGCCCTTTTTTGTGAGGCCAAGCCCTAGACCCTAAGCCCTAAATCCCTAAACCCTAAACCCTAAACCCTAAACCCTAAACCCCTAAACCCTAAACCCTAACCTTTAGGAGGGGTTCAGAGGTCAGGCAAGTCCTGTGAGGCCAAGCCCTCCTTCTACGCCATATCCAGCGCCCCCGGCGGTGGAGACCTTGAGTTCCTCATCAAGGTCTCCGCTTCAGGGGTTCAGGGTTTTAGGGATTTGGGGTTTAGGAGTTTAGTGTTTAAGGTCTCCGCTTGAGGGGTTTAGAAGTTTTGGGTTTAGAGTTTAGAGTTTAGGGTTTTGGGGTTTAGCGTCTCCGCTTTGGAGGGGTTTAGGGTCCCGGCCATGGGCCTCCTGGCTAGAAGTCTGGTTGTTTTCAAACTTGAGGGGTTTAGTGTTTTAGGGTTTAGGAGTTTAGGGGTATTGTAGGGTTTAGAGTTTAGGGGTTTAGGGGTTAGGGTTTAGAGTTTAGAGGTTTAGGATTTAGACGTTTAGGGGTTTGAGGGTTTTGGGGTTCAGTAGGGTTTAGTGGGGTTCAGTCGAGTCGAGATTTGCGGGGCGTAGTCGGCTTTAGATGGGATTTGCAGGGTTTAGTATGGTTCACGGGGTTTACGTGGTTTAGAGCTGATGTGCAGGGTTTCGGAGGGTTAAAGAAGGGAGTGGGTGTAGCCGGGTTTTCGGAGGGCTTGGAAGGGTTCCGAGTTGAGGGTTAGGCTTAGCATAAGGGAGTTTTTAGCAGAGGGGTTTGGTTCAGGGATTTAGGGTCCCGTTCAGGCTTCCTGCTAAAGTGGTTTAGAGTTTAGGGTTTGGGTAAGTTTAGGTTTAACCCTAAACCCTAAACCCTAAACCCTAATGTCTGTCGATGTGCTGGTTTGGGAGAGTGCAGGCCTGTATTGGCCAGTCTCGCGGTGGAGTCAAAGGGGCTAGTGCACTTTAAAAAAAAAAACCTAAACCCTTACGACCTTTCCACAGAAAGCCGTAAGAGGACTCCTTCTCGGTTCCATAAGGACGAAATGAATCCTAAAAGGGTTTAGGGTTCATAATATAGGGATTCATAGGGTTTAGGGTTTAGGGATTAAGGTATGAGGGTATAGGGCCCCTACTTTTAAGGGTCATTTCGCCCTTAAGGTTTAGGGTCTTTGAGGTTTAGCTCATTGCAAAGATGTGTCAAGTTCACCCACAGCAGGCCCGCACCACAAATCCAATCTGCCTTAAACTCGGCATCCCTTAGGTGGCCCTTTTAAAGCATGTGGAATGTATTACCCTATTTGTCCAAAGACCTAATAATCATGTACTTGGGTTACGGATGGTAGTTTTGTAGGTTAGTATTCAGAAGAGTATATGATTATTAGGTACTTGGACCCTTAGGGTTAGTACACTAAGATCCTCTTAGGCCAAGAGGGGCTCATTTGGGAAAGGGCTCCTGGGGGTCAAGGCGCTCAGGATACCCAACGACCGGGTGCGCGATGCAGGCGGAAACAACTGAATCAGCTGACGCTGAACCTTAAACCTTATACACCCTAAACCTTATAAAGCCTAAACCTTATAAACCCTAAACCTTATAGACCCTAAACCTTATAAACCCTAAACCTTATAGACCCTAAACCTTATAAACCCTAAACCTTATAGACCCTAAACCCAGAACTGCAGCACTTAAGAAATAGATATGAATTCAGATAATTATAATGGGTTGGAACTAAACAATAGTAATATAACAATAAGAAGAAGAATTAACACTAAGGATAGACCCTAAACCCAGAACTGCAGCACTTAAGAAATAGATATGAATTCAGATAATTATAATGGGTTGGAATTAAACAATAGTAATATAACACTAAGAAGAAGAATTAACAATAAGGATAGACCCTAAACCCAGAACTGCAGCACTTAAGAAATAGATATGAATTCAGATAATTATAATGGGTTGGAATTAAACAATAGTAATATAACAATAAGAAGAAGAATTAACACTAAGGATAGACCCTAAACCCAGAACTGCAGCACTTAAGAAATAGATATGAATTCAGATAATTATAATGGGTTGGAATTAAACAATAGTGATAACAATAAGAAGAAGAATTAACAATAAGGATAAACCCTAAACCTTATAGACCCTAAACCTTATAAACCCTGAACCTTATAAACTCTAAACCTTATAGACCCTAAACCCAGAACAGCAACACTTTGGATCAGCTGGAGCCCTCGGCCCTTCACAGGGCTTTGGATCGCTGCTCGGACTCGGCAGTTGCATGGCCTTGTCCTTGTTTGGTGGGGTTATGCTCTATGAACGGTTTAGGGTTTAGGGTTTAGGGTTTAGGGTTTAGGGTTTAGGGTTTAGGGCAATGTAGCTTATCTCGTCTCCAAACATAGGGCCAAGAGCGCTCAAGTATTGCTTAAGACTCCAGAACCATGACAACCAGTCACCTTGTTCGGCCTCTCGGGTGGCCGGTTTGAAGACTTCGACAGCAAGTCAAAGATCTAAGATGTCCCGATTCCTGCCAGTTGAAGGGTGCATCGCTACAAGGCTTCACA